ATTTTCCTTCTTCCCCCATTGGAATATAAATTCCATGAGAGCCAGAGGGGCTCTTTTTTTCTTTATTGTTATATTCACAGCTTCTAGAACAGTGCCTAGCACATAGTAGACAGTAAATATTTGTTGATCAAATTACGTTATTTCTGGAAAGAGTGATGAGGAGAAGAAGGGTCAAGGAAGACGAGGCAGATGAGGCTTATGTGTACTGTTTAAGACTTTTACAAAGAGAATGTACTCATGTATCCCTGTGCCCCAAAAAGCCTCATAGGCTTCCATGGAAAAGAGACATATAGACAAATTACGACGGAGTGTATTACAAGGTACGGAAGAATGAGTACGTAACTCTAAGGGGAAGGCAATACAGTTGAGGAAAGCTTCCTAGAGGAGTGATAATGTGAGAGTTGGGTTTTAAAAGATGCGTAGTTCCACCAAACAAAGTGTGAGAGGGATGGGACCCCCTTCAAAATAGAAGGAGTGGTAGGTGCAAAAGCAACGAAGTATGAAACACAGCAGAGGCTCCGAAAACTGCGAGCAGTGGACACTGAAAGGAGAAGTGAGGAGCGTTTTCAGTGTTTTGAGCTACTAAAATTTTCATCTTATCCTTCTCCCTTACCCACTCCTATAGTCTTAACATCTCCAGGTAAGTGTTTGGCTGTAATTAGGAGCTTATTACACCATTAAGGCAAATATCTTGGGGTTTTTCTCATTATTTTTCTGAAAGTCTTTTTTTCTATTTTTTTCTGCTCCCCACAAGTTCCATTTAATGTTTTTATTGTGCCACTGTTCAGATTCTAGATTCCCCTTGGTGTCTTTGGTATAAGAAATTCACATGTAACTTTTACCTGTGGAGTATAGTGAAAAAGGAGGAAGACGTATCTTTAAATTACGTACACATACACACATACGGTTTTGTTACAGTAGCTTTGTTTAGGAACACAGTTGTTCAGCTGAAATATTTTAGTAATTAATATTTGTAATCCTATAAATGTTGGTCTGTAGTCCCTTACCAAGGATGTAAGTGAAGAAACTTGCTTTTCATTGTGCGACTCAACACTTCTCGAGGTTGACTTTTTAAAATCAGGGTTGGGGTTCTGCTTCTTTCCACCCACCTTCCTTCTATCCACGGACTCAGGAAAACACCCTTGATGACAGCACAAACTAAAAAAAGCACTAGCATTAATCCACTCTGCTGGTTTCTGGCACTGCCTGTGTTTATACCATGTCTCATGTCGGGTTGTGATTGTGTATCTGTCTCTGTGAGCCCCGTAAGGTAGGAATCATAACTAAGGCGTTCATTTGTCCACCTACATCAACGCCTAGTTCATAATTGATGCTCGTTAAACATTTGTTGAACTAGATTGAATTGAACTGAACTGAACTGGACTATGGCACCACAGGAGAAGGGGATTTTTGAGTTTGCTTTCAAGTGAGATTGATTTAAAACAAATTTAGAAAAATTATTCTTTTGTTTTTAAACATAGTCTAAATTTGGGGTACAGCTTACCAATATGTTCATTGCCCATAATTTTTTAAGCATTCTGAGCAATGACTCATCAAAATCCCCAAATAGGTATATTTTTTTTAAGACACAGTGGCCCTAGGAAACAAAATTAGGCTTGGTAAATATAAATAGTAAGTGTGTTCTCATTATCGCCAGGAATGTGTGGTCTTGTTGATACACAGAGGAGGATCTTTCTTTCTTCCCTTTGTAATAGAGTTGGAAATGAACCAAAGATCCCCTGATAAATTCCTATTGAGCTTCCCAGCACATTTATTTCATTCTTTCTAGAAGTCACCAAGACTTGTTTTATTGTTCAAAAAAAAATCAGTGCTGCCTCATTTCCTAACACTTGTTTTCTGACCTCCAAGTGTCTCCAGTCCAACTGGCCAAAAAGCCAGGCCAAAAATGTCTGTATCTCAGGAGAGAAACAAATGAACTTAGCTTCTGCTCCCTTCCCTCTACTTTGCAGTGTTTTCTTTTGCAAAGGAGTTTGGAATTTAAATTATCCAAGCCCAGAATCTGTCTAAAACTGCAAAACAATGGTGATAAGATAGTTGGTCATTGCTCCAGCCCTCTGTCTTTTAAAGATCTGTCTGGTCTGGGCCGGGCGCGGTGGCTCAAGCCTGTAATCCCAGCACTTTGGGAGGCCGAAGCGGGTGGATCACGAGGTCGAGAGATCGAGACCATCCTGGTCAACATGGTGAAACCCTGTCTCTACTAAAAGGTGCAAAAAAAAAAAATTAGCTGGGCATGGTGGCGTGTGCCTGTAATCCCAGCTACTCAGGAGGCTGAGGCAGGAGAATTGCCTGAACCCGGGAGGCGGAGGTTGCGGTGAGCCGAGATCGCGCCATTGCACTCCAGCCTGGGTAACAAGAGCGAAACTCCGTCTCAAAAAAAAAAAAAAAAAAAAGATCTGTCTGGTCTGAGAGAGAGTCCTGAACATCCAAATAACTTTTTTTTTTTTTTTTGAGATAAGGTTTCACTCCTGTTGCCTAGGCTGGAGTAAAATGGCATGATCTTGACTCACTGCAACCTCTGCTTCCTGGGCCCAAGCATTTCTCCTGCCTTAGCCTCCCAAGTAGCTGGGACTGCAGTCACTGGTCTGATTTTTGTATTTTTTTTGTAGAGACGGGGTTTCACTGTGTTGCCCAGGCTGGTTTCGAACTCCTGGGCTCAAGCAATCCACCCACCTCAGCCTCCCAAAGTGCTAGGATTACAGCATGAGCCGCTGCACCCGTCCATCCAAATAACTCTTATATTAGTAAAGAAGGCTCTCTTGCCAATGGGTAGCTACTTTATTCATTTACTCAGCGTAACTTTATTGAGTACCTCTGTGTTAAGTCCTGGAGATCAAAGATGAGTAAGACTTCCCCCTACCTCCCAAGAAGCGCCCAGTCTATCTTGGTAACAATTATACAGTGCTAAGATAGCAGTAGGACAAAGTAATAATAGTAATTAGTTCAGCATGGAGGGATCTGGAAGAGCTTTACCAAAAAAGTGACATTTATGTATGTATGTATGAATGAGACCACACCTGGCATAAAAATTGCCTTTTCATCCTTAGTCTTAAAGAATAAGATTCCTGCCAGGTGCACTGGCTCATGTTTATAATCCCAGCACTTTGGGAGGCTGAGGCAGGCAGATCACTTGAGGCCAGGAGTTCGAGACTAGCCTGGTCGACATGGTAAAACCCTGTCTCTAGTAAAAATGCAAAAATTAGCCAGGCAGGGTAGCGCACGCCTGTAGTCCCAGCTACTTGGGAAGCTGAGGCAGGAAAATCACTTGAACCCATGAAGTAAAGGTTGCAGTGAGCTGAGATCTCGCCACTGCACTCTAGCCTGAGGAACAGAGTGAAACTCTGTCTCAAAAAAAAAAAAAAAAAAAAAAAAAAAAAAAATGCAGTGCATGCCTATAATCCCAGCACTTTGGGAGGCCAAGGCAGGTGGATCACAAGGTCAGGAGTACGAGACTAGCCTGGCCAATATAGCGAAACCCCGTCTCTACTAAAAATACAAAAATTAGCCAGGCGTGGTGGTGCACACCTGGCTGAAGCACGAGAATCGTTTGCACCCAGGAGGCAGAGGTTGCAGTGAACCAAGATCATGCCACTGCACTCCAGCTTGGACAACAGAGCGAGACTCTGTCTTAAAAAAAAAAAAAAAAATTTCAGCAGAGAAAGGCTAGCCCTACATTTCAAACACAGGACTTAGTAAGAACAGCTACGTGAGGTATGAAAGCTCAAGACAGGCCAGGCGCCGTGGCTCATGCCTGTAATCCTAGCACTTTGGGAGGCTGAGGTGGGCAGATCACCTGAGGTCGGGAGTTCAAGACCAGCCACCGCGCCTGGCCTGTTTCTTCATTTTTTTGAAATAAGGATAATAGCAGCTTCTGTTTGACAGGGCTGCATGTATATATGCATACACACACACATGGCTTTAAACAGTGCTCAGAAAAAACAGAAGTATTCAACGTTAGGCCATGTTATGAAAGGCCCTGAACTGTACATTTTCTGTAAGTAAAAGAAAAGTTTTAAAACAGAAGAGGGGAGAGTATATAACAGGATATAATCTGTATTTTGTTTTATTTTTTAATTACTTTTATTTTTTTATTAGAGACAGGGTCTCGCTGTGTTGCCCAGGCTGGTCTCGAACTCCTGGGCTTGAGCAATCCACCCACCTCAGGCTTCTAAAGTGCTAGGATTACAGGCCTAAGCTGCCCCACCTGGCCTCTCATCTGTATTTTAGAAAAGTAACTCTGGTACCACTCTGGAGAGTAGACTGGATAAGGAAGAAACTAGAGACAACATGCAAGTTCTGAGACAGTTTCAAGAATACGGATAACAGGTGCTGACATAACATGGTACTGAGTTAATATAGTGGCCTTGCCCTTAAAAATTTTGGGTTCCTAAATCGAAACTTCAAACTTGAAATGTCAGTCCTAATACAACTTACAAATTTAATTCTAAAAAAAAAAAAAAAAATGGGCCAGGCGTGGTGGTTCACACCTGTAATCCCAGCACTTTGGGAAGCTGAGATGGGCAGATCACCTGAGGTCGGGAGTTCGAGACCAGCCTGGCCAACATGGAGAAACCCCGTCTCTACTAAAATATAAAAATTAGCTGAGCGTGGGGGCGCATGCCTGTATTCCCAGGTACTTGGGAGGCTGAGGCAGGAGAATTGCTTGAACCCGGGAGATGGAGGTTGCAGTGAGCTGTGAGTGCACCATTGCACTCCAGCCTGGGCAACAAGAGTGAAACTCCATCTCAAAACAAAACAAAAACAAACAAAATCAACAAAATGAAACCCCTGGGGCAGAGCACAGAAGGACTGTCCTTGCAGTCTGGATGTCATAGTGCTCAACTGATGCTTCCATTCTATACCCAAATATCACACCAGTACCTCTTGCCTGCCATTCATCTGGTTAGATGTCCAGAGAAAGACATTCTATTTTTGGAGATGCTTTTGTTTTTCCCTTTAATTAACCTCAAACTACTGATCAGTTTCCTAGAGGAAGTTCTGGCTTCTGGACTGCACAGCCGAAGCAAGGAGAGCTCTCAAGCCACATCAAGGTCAGCAAGCAGAAGATGAAACGGTGATGCGGGGAATGGCACAGCTTCCGCCCTTGCCCCCTACAGGCTCTCCCCACTAACTAGAGGTGTGAGAGAGCAGCTTTGGGTTCTGTGCTGGTTGTTAGAACTCACCTCCGGGTAGCCCGCAGATTCCTGGTTGGTACAGACACCAAGACTCTCAGAGTTGAGCCAACAATAAGTCTGAGCCCAACTCAACCCTGTTTTCTCCTGTAGTCTTTGTGTATCTGTTAGCACAATCACTTCAGTTACTGATGAATTCTATCGGGATCTGACTTGGGAAAAGGGTTATCAGAGCCTAGAGGGGCTTAAAAAGTAATGATTTGATGTACATACCACATTTCTCGACTTCCTTTCTCTTCCCTTGACCCTTTCTGCTTTTCATTAACCACATTCCTGTACAACTTATTTCTGAAAACCTCCCATGTTTCTTTACAGAGGCATCCAAAAATTGTTTGTCCCTGCATAACAATTCTCTGTTACACTGAGAAACCACGTACAACCACAATAAAAGTCCATTTTGTGAAAAGGTATCAGTGATTTAGCTTTATTTTCTTTGGGGCTAATTTATGAGGTGGGGCATGAGCTGGCTTCACACCAAACATAATGAAGGCATTACCTCTACCTGACAGATATTTAAAGTATGTCAAGGCAAATAATAAAGTCTTGTGTCAATTTCACCTCTCTTGAAAACAGTAGAAAGTGATAGTATCATTAATGCCAGGAAATTAAGACATCCTCAAATCATCATAGCAAAAATACCATAGCATAATCTCTCCCTGGTTGTGTGTGTGTGTGTGTGTATGTGTAAAGTTATATGTTGGTAAATATTCTCCAGCATTAGATGGCAAGGGTCAAATCTATGACATAGTTATATGGTTTTGAGACTATTAAGTCTCTTTGTGGCTCAGCTTTCTCATCTGTAAAACAGAACCTTAATCATAGGATTACAAAGATTAAATTAGATGAGATGGTACATGAAAAGTGCTTAGAACACTGGTATATAGTAATCGCTCAATAAAATTGGACTAATAGTAAATAAGATGAATTTCTGTCTCTAAGTTGGGGTTACAGAATCACTATGCAAAATGATTGGATTCCTGTCAACTCTCCCGTGGCACTTAGAAGTTCAGAAAATAGAGGGAAAAGCTGGAAGGTCGTTCTGTCCATTCCCCTACTCTCCGCTCCTCCCAGCCCTCAGCTGTTCCTGCTTTACACACACTCAATGAAGTAAACTCTTAAGTTCTTTTTTTTTTTTCTTTTGTGGGTCCGTCTGGGTAACTTTTTCTTAATTCTTCATTTTTTTACAAGTCTTTTGAGACAGCCTGCACTTGGGGATGCAGTATTTTAAACGCAGCATTTTACAAGTTATATAGTCTTTTCAAATACGGAAAAACTCCCTCCTCCAAGCAGGAATATCTGTGCTTTCCTTCCTATCAGCAAGATAATGCTGTGGAATAAAAAAAAAAAAAAAAAAAAGCAAAACCGAGACCTTCCTTATATCATTTTCCTCATTATTCATCTGTTTCCATTGTGCTTACTCAACTGACAATATCAAGAAGTCTAAGAAACGAGCCCTACCATCAGGGTGTTTGATGTCAGAGGTTGGCATTTCTTTATTAAGAATCAAAGACTCATATTTTTGTGTAAGATTTACAGAGCTGATCTGGCCCTTTATTTTTGTGCCCTTTAAAAACATCATTTTAATTAAGGTCTTGTATGCTTTCAATAATCCTCTCCCCCAGAGACAGGAACGCCCTGGTCAAAACCTCTGTGTTCCATTTACTCTACAAAAGCCAAGGATATTTGTTTTTAGACAACCATGTTTGAATAACAGTTTCCGCCCAGTAAACTTGCAAGCAGCAGTTCACACGTTTTTAATCTCTAATAGCTCCCTCTTTCTCCCTTAAGTGGAGTTATAAAATATTCCATTCCAGAATATAGCTACTAGCAGTCGCGTCTTATCCTCAGATGTGTTAGGGAGGTGCCCCCATCATGAGGTCCTCCGAGTGTCTTATCTCCACCACAGACAGAAACTGGCTGAGAGTGATTTCTGTGGTTTCTGTGTGTGTAGCGTCAAGCTCACTGAGGGGCGCTGAGGAGACAGCGCTATAAAAATGTGTCAAGAAACCCATACGTTCTCAGATTTCTCACTTAAGCATTGGTCTTTGGACAACAGTCCCACCTACCTCCCAATTCAGGTGCCCCGAGGTTCACCTGGTGAGACAAATCACCTTCAAGAATAGGCCAGGGAAAGTAGAAAGGGGTGAGTGCCAGGACGAAGGGAGAACAGGTGAATGAAAGTAGGGGCAGGATCACAGGATGGAGCAGGGCAGAGAGAGGACGCCAGAGATTTATGTAACATCTTAAGGAGCAGACAGGCAGGGAAGGTTCTGCAGCCCACATGCATCTGCTCTGGAATCTGAAATTACTTTGGAGGGTTTTCATCGGCCCCTCTGCCTGATGTTTCACAATGCTCTGGCACCTATCTGATGCAGCACAAAAGGAACCCTGGACCTCACATATTGGGGGCACTCAGATGTTTGTTGTTTTTATTTATTTATTTATTTATTTTTGAGACAAAGTTTCACTCTGTTGCCCAGGCTGGAGTTCAGTGGTGCAGTCTCAGCTCACTGCAACCTCTGCCTCCCGGGTTCTAGCGATTCTCCTGCCTCAGCCTCCCAAAGTAGCTGGGACTACAGGCATGTGCCACCGCACCCAGCTAATTTCTTTTGTATTTAGTAGAGCCGGGGTTTTGTCATGTTGGTCAGGCTAGTCTCGAACTCCTGACCTCAAATGATCCACCCGCCTCGGCCTCCCAAAGTGCTGGGATTACAGGCGTGAGCCACCACAGCTGATAGAAACTACTGGGAAAGGAGGAAGACGGGGCAAATAATGAGTCACTTTTTTTCCCATAAATCCGAATCTGTTTACATGATTAAACCACTCCTGTGTGCCTGTCCCACAAGCCCTCAAAAGGTCGTGCAGGCTACTTCCTCACCAGTACCTCTGGCCATTTTACTTCCTCACATTATGAAGACATCCTGGATTTGCTCAATATTTTTTCATCGCTTTTTAAACAAGGGGGTAGAAAATAGAGATGGTGGGAAGGGGATGACGAGATGGTTTGGGGAACGTCGTAGGTGTGCACTCATGCCCATGGGAGGGGTCACAAAGTCTGAACAGGAGACTGCAGTCAGGAAGTCTGGATTCTAATCTGGTTAGCCTGTAAGTAACTTGATGTATAAACTTGGGCAAGTCCGTTGATCTGGCATGCCCCGTTTCTTCATTTTCCAAATGGAAATATTAATACTTATTCTATATACAAGATGGCACGAAAAGTGTAAAGAAATGGCATACAAGAGCATTTTGAAAGGATAAAGTTGTGTGGGTCTAAAATCGTGGAATTAATTGGTATGGTGAATGGAAAGAGGTTGAGAGCAATATTATTGCATTAGGAGGAAAGGTGCCCGGCGGGAATGGAGAGGCAGCCCCTCCTTCGTTTGACAGAGACCAGAAAAACCAAAACAGCCTCCACTACTCAAACCACAAATTTAGCCAACACTTTCGTCTTGAGACATCTCTGGAAAAAGGATTTTTCCTTTTCCCTGTTCCTCCGTGCCAGGGATTTTTATTCATTTTGTGGTTATTGCAAGCTTGCCATATGCCAGGCAATGTGTTTATTAGCTTATTATGATTTCAAAATTAGCCCTGGAAGACAACACGTATCTTCAAAGGATTCTCACAGGTCATCTCATATCTCCCCCTAACTTTCCTTGTTGATGAAAATGGCATTTCATCCCTCACCATTTAATACGTGGGTGGACGCAGGCCTAAAGAAATTCAGCGAGTTGACCAAAGGCCACAGAGTGGTGATGAAACCAGTACCCAGCAGTGGGGTTTCTCACTCCCCTCTTCCATCACATATATACCGAAAAGACATGAAGTTACTAAGATGCGTCCTGGAGGCTCTGGGCAGACCTGCTGTAGGAGATCAGCAGCCGTTCCCTAGTCAGGGCCTCCTCTGGGCGTTCCGCCCTTCCCTCCACTGGGCTCCAGCGCTGTAGAGAGGATGGGATTTTGACCTATCAGTGCACCGAGAAAACATACCCAGGTGGCAGGAAGTTTAAGCCTCACCTGGAACTTACATTGAAAGCCACTTGGTACAAAGGATCATGGTTTGGAGACAGAGTTCTATTCCTGCCGGCACTGACACAGTGTGTCTGCAAATCCCCCAGCCATTCTGCGTCTCCGTTTTCTCCCCGTGAGATGGAGATCATAAAATCCGCCTCATTCTCACGGTTATTCTCCTGAGGTTGCAATAAGGCCTGAGGCTTTCGACACTGGAAGAAACGTGTATTAATAGCAACTTCTGTCCCACCCCATCCCCCAACACGGCGATCCCCTCCGGAGTATAAAACTTTCCCCCAGCATCTGACCTGCCCAGGTCACCCTAGCACCTAGGAGCGTGAGTTCCTGATACCGGTTCTGGGTGGCGCGCCCTCCCGGCTCCCGCTCTCGTTTTTGTTTTGGGCCGGAGAAGGCGATGCCGTGGAGGGTGGCGATCTCCGGTCTTCACGAATCCGCACGTCTCTCCATTATCCACCGCGCCCGCCCCATGTGCCCCGGGGCGGCCGGCGGCCGGGTCTCTCGGGCTCCGCGAGTCGCCCGAGCCGCCGCCGGAGCGAGGGTCCCTGCCCCCCGGGGAGCGGTCTCCGGCCGCTTCGGGGCCGCCTTCTTCCCCCTCCGTGAGTCGGAAACAAAGGCGGGGGGGCGGGGGGAGCGCCCGAGCTGCGGCTCCGCGATTCGCCCTTTATTCTGAACTCGCAACGTCAGCGGCCCGCGGATGGAGCTGCGGGGCGCGGGCTGGGCCGCCCACAGCGCACCGGGCCGGGGGAGCGGCCGCGCCGGGCCGGGCGGGCGGGTGGCGGGGGCGCGCTCGGGGGCCCGGGCCGCGTGGGCGCCGGGATGGAGGGCGCCGAGGGGCGGGGAGCGGGCGTGCGTGTGTGTGCGAGTGCGAGTGCGAGGGAGGCCGGCCTTGAGTGAAACCGGAGCTACAAAGAAGGGGAGAGTCCGGGAGCGGGAGGGCGCGAGGGAGGAGCGGCGGCGCCGGGGCAGCTCCGACGCCCTCCCGCGGGGAACGAGCCCCCGCGGAGCCGCCGAGGCCCCGACGCGGGGCCGCCCCTCCGCCCGCCGCCCCGCGCCCGCCGGGAATGATGAAGAAGAACAATTCCGCCAAACGGGTGAGTGCGCGCGCCCGCCCTGCGGCCGCTGCCGCCTCCGCGCTCCGACGACCCGGTCCCGGTCGGCGCCGCGGCGGCCTGGGAGCCCCCCGGCCCGGCCGCGCCCCCGCCCCGGCGGCCCGATCCCCTCGGCCCCGGCCCCGGCCCCGGACGCCCGGCCCCGCGAGGCGCCGGCGGGGGCTTTTGTTTGTTGACTCGCCTCGGGGGGCTTCAACTTGTCTGAGTTTCCCCCCGACCCGCACCTCCCCCGCCCCTGGGCGTCGGGCGGGCGTTTGCCTCGCGCTCC